GAAAACTGGATAAGAGTACACCCTTATTACAAATCTGGCTGCATTTTTTCCATGTCCTGAAATTTTGTGGGAGGCTGAACTTGAAGGTGACAGACTACTTTATTTGGCAAAGAAAATTTTAAGGTAGAAGAACAACTAGCAGCAGATCCTGGTGTTGTCTGTGATGCTGGTTTTGCAATCATGCAGAATCCAAGAGTTGCAAGCAGACCCTGATGAGGATGCAAGGAACTGTGGTGGTGAAGCTAAAGTTGCAGTGTAGATCCCAGGAAGACATAGGTGTTGGCAACACAGGACATCTGCCAGGGGAAGCTACATGCAACAAGAAGAGGCAGCCCTAGGAAATGGTCATGTGGGGGTGTGTCTGCAAAGTTACAATGCTATTTTAAGTCCTTGGGAACACATTCCACCAATGTGTCCCAGATGTTGTACAAAGAACAATAGGATTTAACGTTTGCCCTACTGTCAGTCTTACTTTAGTGTGATCCTTCCTTTCTAGTCCTCTCTTCTTTTGTAATGAGAATGTATACATTGTGCCTGTCCCAACATCGTACATTAAAAGTGTATAATTTGTTTTTTATTTCTATAGGCACTCACAACTGAGTTTGCCTTAAGACTTGGGTGAGATTTTAGCCTAGAACTTTTGAAAAATGCTGAAAGTTAAGACTCCAAACCTTTGGGAGATGGGGAGAATGCTACAGTTTGAATCTTAAAAGTCTTCGAAAGTACCATGTGACAAAGGTTTGGTCCCTAGAGTGGTGCTACTGGGATTTCTTTATATCACTGATGGCACGCTCTCCAAGGGAACAGCAGTACCTCACACTTTCCTCTTCCTGTCTTGATTCCTGGACATAGTCTGAGTAGGTTTTCTTGGCCATGGGTTCTATGCCATTGCCATCTGATACTCCAGAGGCCTTAAAAGCAATGGGTTCACCTGATCATGTACTGAAACCTTTAAAACCACGAGCAAAATTAACCTTTTCTCTCTATAAGTTATTCATCTCAGCTATTTGTTATATTAACAGAAATCTAACATAGTAACCTTATTACAAAATTCAACTATTCATTCATTTTTCAGATATTTACTATGTTACTACTATATGCTGGGAATTGTGTTAAGTACTAGAAATAAAAATAATTTGCCAGACAAGAGATTATAGCTTTCTGGTTAAACAGGGAAAGAAAATACTACAATGTTTATGATGTCTGCTATGATCAGGGGAACACGTATACTGTGGAAGAACACATGATGTGGGTTGGAAAAGTAGGTCTACAACAGTCAATAATGATGCCATGGTATTCTCATTACAAATCCTTATATCAAAGTAAGATAATTATATCAGACTACCAAATGTGTAATATCAGACTATGAAAATTGGTTCTACAACTATTTCCAGCAAAAAGCCCATCAACTTCAGTGTATAATAGAATACAATCAGAGGGGAATTTAAAACAACGAACTCACAAACTAGACATTGTGATTCCACTCCCCACCAAAAACAAAACAAAAAAAAGAATAGGAAAGAGAGAAAAATTAACATCATGACTTTGTAGCTTAGTGCCATAGAAAAAAACTGCTTAAAGAAAATTAAATCAGGTGCCTTAAATTGTTTTAGGTGATAGAGGCTAGATTACTTCAATGATCACTGACGTCCCCATGATAACAGATCCCAAAACCCTACAACTAGAACTGACCATTTTTTAAGTTTCAGAAGTTGATATGACCAGACAACATTTGGTATGACATACAAAATGTCCACAGCATAGCACTCAATGTTATATCATGATGAATTTCGTTTAACACGAGAAGGATTTACTCACATGTTAATATAAATGACATTTAATGGCATTTAAATCAAACATCATTTTCTTTCTGGCTAAGTTTAATGATATTAGTCAATTATGCAAAAGCCAAGGATAGTAAAGCTTTTCTTTGGTTTAAATTTCTATTTTTCTTGGTATCATCATCACAAATGTACAACAGCATTCAGCTTAAATTAAATAAATTCTATAATAGAGCATCCAGGTTATAATATACATAATCAATAAAGTGAACAATAATAAAAATTATTGCAAGTCTAAGTCACTGTATAGAACTCATACCTTAGAGTATGTTATTTTTATTCTATTATCTGAAACTCTAAGAATATTTCATTACAAAAAGAAAATAATTTTAAATTATGCTCCTTGAAATTATTACTGTTTAATAACAGTAATCCTAAAAATACTTCCACAGGATATAAATTTATCATCATTTCCTCTAAGATATGTATAAATTTTCTTTAAAAAATCTATTTCCATGTTTACATATTCCGAGGCTTTTTTTTTTTTTTTTTTGATGATAGTGGTAGGGATCAAACCGAAGGCCTCAGACATGCTAAGTGAGGGCTCACACAGAAGACAATTTTTGAAATAACAGGGTTTTTCAATATCTTTGCTCCAACTGTAACTTGTATGTAAGTAAATACAGAGAAATTAGTAACAACTTTCTCAAGAAAACACAGCTTTTAATTCAATACTCTTTCCCAGGTTATTACCTTTTAGAACTAAAGAAACTTATTGAAAGATGATTAAAATAATCTAATTGGTTGATAATACTGCTATTATACACTGATTTATTGGCTTTACTAGATAAACTTATTTGTTTAGTATAATACATGAACTCTGTAGTTTTGGATATACTTATCAATAAAGTTTAAGGCTAAAAACAGCTTCTGATCATAAAACTAACAACTTATTAAATTCTTAAAAATCTCCTTTTCTATGCAGCTTTTAATATTAAGGAAAAGGAGGAAGATTTTACATGGTTTAATGGTGTGTAAATATAAATTTTAGTTTCCATTTAACCTGTCTGCATATATTCCTTCCATAACTATCAATAAAACTTAAATGAAACTCAAGTTTTTAATTTTGTCAAATTAATATAAAATGTTAATGATTTGTGAATTAACTTCCAGATTATCAGGAAAATAAAAAACAGCAGTTATCTGCTAACAGATTTTTTTTAACAGACTTTTTTTTGGACAAAATACAAGCAGTAGTTCTAGTTTCTTTTTTTCTTAATGAAAAAACATTTTGATAATGACACAGAAAACTAATAATAATTTATTTTTCATTTCCCACTGAAAGCTAATACTCGGGTAATCAATAGTTCCATTATCATTTCTAATGTTACTAAACAGATGTGCAACAATGAGAAACAGCTGAGGGAAGAACTGGCAGAAAATGGAAGGGTTTGGGGATAATTTGGAGAACACAAAGGTGTCTGGATAATTTCTTATGTCACTATCCAAAATTACTTTCACTTATCTTGGACTCTTAAATATAACTTTAATAGTTTTTCAATATTTTAGAAATAACACTGCAGTATGAAAAGTGCTCAAAATGTTGCCTGGTATATCAGTAAAATCTAGCTTTTATTTTTATTTAAAAAAGCATTTTATTATAGAAAAGTCTTACTAATGAACATTAACCTTTCTGTGGGAAACAATGATATGGTACCACAGACAAGTCAAATATTATGCTAACTCAGCTCATCCAGCATGAATTGCATAGACTTTTGCACACTCATTACTTGCTCCTCCCCCCAAATGCTTGCCATCACTATACTGATGTTGTACTTACATTTTTCCCTATAATAAAAAAAAGATTCAGCTAGCTATGGTGTTGCAAGTCTGTAATGCCAGTGGCTTAGGAGGATGGCAGGTTTAAAGCCAGCCTCAGCAACTTAGTGAAGCAGTAAGCAATCTAGTGAGACCCTATCTCCAAAAAAAAAAAAAAAGAAAGAAAGGAATGGATTAAAAAAAAAAATGTGGCATTTATACACAATGGAGTATTACTCTGCACTAAAAAAATGACAAAATCATGGAATTTGCAGGGAAATAGATGGCATTAGAGCAGATTATGCTAAGTGAAGCTAGCCAATCCCTAAAAAACAAAAGCCAAATGTCTTCTTCAATATAAGGAGAACAACTAATTAAACAGGGATGAGAGGTGGGAGGGAAAGGGAGAGAGAAGGGAAATTGCATGGAAATGGAAGGAGACTCTCAGGATTATACAAAAGTACATACAAGAGGAAGTGAGGGGAAAGGGGAAAAAAAACAAGGGGGAGAAATGAATTACAGTAGAGGGGGTAGAGAGAGAAGATGGGAGGGGAGGGGAGGGGGGATAGTAGAGGATAGGAAAGGCAACAGAATACAACAGACACTAGCATGGCAATATGTAAAACAGTGGATATGTAACCTATGTGATTCTGCAATCTGTATAAGGGGTAAAAATGGGAGTTCATAACCCACTTGAATCAAATGTATGAAATATGATATGTCAAGAAGTATGTAATTTTTTGAACAACCAATAATAAAAATTAAAAAAAAGTGTTCCTGGGAGTATAAAACAAAACAACAAAAAAAAGGAATGGGATATGGCTCAGTGGTGAAGCGCCCTTGGGTTTAATCCCTAGTACCATTAAAAAAAGAAAGAAAAAAAAAAAAAGATTCAGCAGGTGAATATTATTTGTGAGAAGGAGAGGTTATTAACTAAATTTGCTTCCCCCCCCATATCAATTCCTTTCCAAAAATAAAGACTTTCCCATTTAAGGATTTGAGCAATATATCCACGTTTGCTTGTTATATTTAATGAGTTAATATATTTTTATTTTGTGGTTAAATAAAAATCTCTACCAAATAATAACCCATTGTCTGTCTACTAAGATAAACATTACAAAACCATGGATGGTGGTGCATTCTTGTAATCCCAGAGACTCAGGAGGCTGAGGCAGGAGGATTGCCAAATGCAAGGTCAGCCTGGGCAACTTACTGATATTCTGACTTAAAATAAAAAGAGCTGGGATGTAGCTCAGTGGTAGCATTCCCATCAGTTCAATTCCCAGTACCAAAACAATAACAACAACAATAATAAAAAACAGATAAATATTATGATAATCTAAAATTAAACTGAAGATAGGAAATAAGGCCCAAATCTAAGATTTGGAAATTATTACTTACTGCAGGTACCAGTAGTTTCTTCACTTCTTCAACTGCTCTCTTCAGTTTTATTTCTGCTCTGTTCTGAGCATCTTCCACAGTGATTAGTACATGTAAATCTTCATTTAGATGCTCCCAATTGGGTTTGCCTCTATTTTGCTCCTCCTAAAAAATTTACAAAGTACACTCTTACAATTATTTTTCTTTAAAGAGAGTGTATCCTTCATATTGTGAATCTGTTGCCAACAATTTAAGTCATGTTTGCATTATTTTGCTAAAATAACATTAGAAACCTTCTGAATTATTTTCCTGGCCAAAATGAAGAAACTTACATATGGCATCATCCATAGATTACCATGAAGAACACTCTGAGAAGCATGTTATTTCTATAAATTACTTATGAGTAAACAGAAAGTCATCAAGATTAAGCACGTCACTTACAAAGAACACACGGGAAATAAACAGTCAGTATAAAAATGAATCAAAGAATTCTCAAACTCAGTAAAATTTCCACTTCATCACAATTGTTTAATAACATTAGTTGTACTCAACAGCAGAAAAAAATATTTTGCAAACAAGACATTATAGTGTAAAACAAGTATTACACTTAAGTATTTGAAGTAATAATTATGGAAACATTTTATTATAATCCACAAGAAATAATAAGTTATAACTATATTTCCATTAGACTTTTTTAAAATCAACTATAAGGCCTCTCTTTCATTATATCAAGTAATGAATACAGTTTTTCAGACACTATGTGCCCAATTTCCTTAATGACGTCTAGTCTCCTAGTGAGGAGGACCCTCACACTGATACCTTGACACCACAGGGAGAACTAGGAAGAGCATACTACAAAAACCTATTATCTAAATTGGGTCATTTCAGAATTGCAGAGCTAATTCTTGCTTTAAGTTTTAGAGATAATGCAAATACAATTTATAAATTTTAAAACATAAAAAACAAAGAATATAAATTTATAAATAGGTAACATACAAATGTTATACAGAAATGGATGTGGCTCAGACCAAAGTACCACAAACAAACAATAAATATTACCTTTGTTGTTATTAGACCTCTATCTTGAATCTACTCATGTATTTATTTTACTAAATGTGAGATTCCAATCCAAGAAAGTAAAACTGGTATAAGGATACAACTTTTGTACAACTCACATGAATGAGCTTACCCAATGAGGACAGAAATGTCTGAACAGTTAAGTATGTACTTCTACTTTATTTTCAGCTAATATCTTCAGTGGGAAAATCTATCTACATGTTATAAGAGATAAGAACATTCATGTTTCCCCAAGTATAGGAGGCAGTAGAGTGGACTCACAAGATCCAGGATATGTGAAATTTCAGGGAATTGGAGCTATAATCACATCTATTGACACTTATGAACTACTAGCTCAAAGTATGTCTGTTTCAACATTAGATCACACCCCATTCCATTTAGTAATGATACACATGCACAAAGCTAGGTCTATCATTGCTATTACAAAAAGCAAGTCTGAAAAACTCAGCAGAGTATAAGAAGGTGGCGGTGTCCAATCTGATTCTGAGGTTTAGAACTTGAATGGCCCCCAAGAAAACACAGATGCTATTAATAAATAATGTGATTATTTAAAAATAAATAATGTGGTCATTTAGAAAATCATTTTTTTCCTTCAATTTAAGATGTTCTAAAGCCAGGCACAGTGGCACATGCCTATAATTCAAGCTACTCAGGAGGCTGAGATAGGACGATTACAAATTCAAGGCCAGTCAGAACAACTTAGCAAGACCCCGTCTTGAAATACATTTTTTTTTTTTTAAACAAAGTTTGGGGATGTAACTCAGTGGTAGAGTTGCTTGCCGAGCACACAGGAAGCTCTGAGTTCAATTCTTAGTACTGAAAAACAAAAAAAGTTTTGATACAGATATTATAGTTCTATTTATTATTTACTTAGAAAGTAAATAATAGAACTATAAGAGATTCATTTTCCCCTAGGGAGCACTATGAAAAAACTAAATGAGAAACCAGTTCAATCAAGAACTGGGAACTATGGGGTCACCTGCGAAGAATATAAAATGTGCATAAATATTTTCACTGTTGCTCAATTTTTAAACACAAATGTTAATTTTAATGTTGAAGATTGCTAATAATATTTTCCCACCAAAATTTGTGTTTTTACATGGACTAGTTACTGGCATTATTTGGTATATACTGAAAGTGTGCCTTTTTGTCTAAATCCATCATCATAAGGGATTTTTGCTTCCAGCCAAGGAAAAATAAGAACCAAATGTATAATCCCACTAGAAGCAAGTAAAACAAATGAACAACAATTTTAAGCCAATAGACACCAGGCAGCTAAGATCAGTGACAATGAAAAGACCTGGGGCGGAGACACGAGTGAGCCCTCCCTGACTGACTTCTCCCTGAGTGGAAAAGACTAGCACAGCTGGGGTCACACAACCAAGTCCTGTACAACCACACTGGGGAACAGCCAAAGGCCCAGAGCATTCCACCCAAAACCACCAGTGCAGCCTGGCAGGAAACTCCAGAGGCTTATAAAACAAACTGCTTCCAGGACTCAAGGTAACAAAGGGCCTAGTTTTCATATGGAGTCAGACTGAAAAGACTTCCTGGGATTCAGAAACTGTACACTAAAGGGTCTTGCTATAGTAAAGGCAACAATTAAATCTAGTCTGCCCACTGTTCCAGTGCTGCTCAAAGAAATTTTAAAGCCAAAACCTAAAGGGACCAAACTTTCCAAATGACTTAACTGTCCCAGAACAAAGCTGAAGGGTATTTATAGAAATATAAAAATATCCACACGTACTATCTGATAACTAATCAGAAATTAACAGGCATTCAAAGACACAGGCAAATGCCAAAGATTAAAAAAAAAAAAAATCAAATCAAACCACAACTGATATTTTATATAAACATAATATGTATTAATTAGTAATTAAAGACAATTAAAGGCTATTCTGTGTTTGGTGAGATTCAGTATGTGTTTAAGAGTAGCGCACATAAATACTACACAGGGATAACTAAAGAACATTAATAATTTAGAGTAAGTCAGAAAAGCTTTAGCATAAAAGCTGAAACTGTGACTTGCCATGAAACATTTATACAATGGTGAAGAAAAAAACCAAAGAACTTAAAAAGGAGATATTACCTGCATTATAGAAACACAGAACAAAGCTGCAGTATAATTTGCCACTGCACTTTACAGAAGGAATAAATTTGAGTTGCTAAGTACCTTGGCAAAAGTGTACACTCTTAATTCAAGAATTTAAAAGCCAACTTAAGAAAATCAGAATTTAAAATGTACAAACCCACAAAGAAAGAAGAAAATGGGAATGAAAACAATTTTTTTAGGAAATCTTTTCAAAACGACAAGAGTTATTGCTCAATATAACAATGTGACAGCAAAGACAAATCAGATAACATTACTATATGTGTATGTATAGTTAAGGTTTGATAGTTGAGGTCAGAATAAATGATGAGAAGATTCAAGGAAATGGAAAACAGCTTTATATAGTAAATTAAAGTTTAGTATCATATTAAATAATTTTATAAAATACCATTTGCACCCAATAAAAGAACAAAGACATAATTACTAATGGTAATTTATTGTGTACATTCTTAATGAACAAAGCATAAATGAATTTCAAGTAACTCTTAGCCTCTCAGGTAATTATAAATTTAATAAGAACAATGATGGTGATCATGATAACGGCAACTAAGCTTTTATTGAACACTTACTACTTATCAAGTACAATGCTAAGCAATAAAATATGCCGTGTCATTATATCCTCCTAACTAAACTATATGACTGTAGCACTACCATTGTTATTGTTAGATGTGGCTTGCCCAAGATACACCAAAGTTCTTCTCCACCCAGATCACACAACAGAGCCTGCCATCTTGGCCACTAACTCCTAGCATACATCATCACCTACATCAGCTTCCTAGTTAAGTAAACTGCCCCAAGATAAGCAAAATAAATTAGTGAAAGACCAGAAACAGAGTTCTTGAATCTTTAGAATTCTTTTTTCAGCGTGTGTGTGTGTGTGTGTGTGTGAAGCATCTCACTCTGTTGTCCAGGCTTATCTGAAGCCATCCACCCAACCTTAGCCTCCCCCTCCCCGCCGCCCTCCTCCCACAAGAGCATGCCACCATGTCCAGTTTAGATTTTTTTTTAAACCTTATTAACATTTTTGTGTGCAATTCTAAGCATGCCATACTCTCACAGAATTTTTGATTCAGTAGAGACTTTGCAGACAAAGAAATACATGAAAGATTTTTTTTTTTTCCCATATTGGTCCTATCTCCTAATTCCAAGCCACTCCTTTCCCCATAAATAAATTCTTGAGTAAGTCATGAAGAATATCAAGAACTGGAAGAAATGTACTTGGTAAAACATCTCTTGCACCTACAAAATTTTGTTTTTCCTAAATGAGAGATCTATCTAATTTGAATGACAGAAATATTAAAAAAGGATAAATCTGTAGCCGTTTAACTTAAACACATAGAATCCCCCCAATCTTTAAATAGGTAAGGTTATTAAAACTAAAATGTGGCCTTAAACACAATGCATATATTAAACATTATTACTAAGACATTAATATTGCCCATAAGTAAATAATATCATTTTTTTTTAATAAAATAAAATCCACTTCATTTTAAAGCTGTTGTACACAGTGACACATAAAAATAAAAAGCAATAAATTCTTATCATTTGAGAAACTACTGTTTGTGATTGTTTTTTTGATAAAAAAGAAATTTGATGTCACTGCCTGATGAAGTTTAAAATTATTCTCTAATTACAGTATCTGTTTGAACAACAAAGTAATTCTATAACATGAAGCATCAGAGCACACTGATTGTCCTAACCCCTGCTGACACACTTTTAATTATACATTTGTAGGCAGGCAAATAAGCAAAAGACTTCTCCCCTACTGTACTCTTAATGTGCAAGTTCATATGCCAAAAATCTCTTGGAAAGGAATTCAAAAGTGTCACATATTGAAGCAAACCGAGGTTCCAACAACATTTTTATTATGAATACATGCACTGAAGCCAAGTATTAAAATTTGGACATATAATCATCTTCAATTATATCTTATTGTTTTTTGAGAAACTCGGCATAAAGTAGATTTTATATAGTCTAA